TGTTAGGCTCTTGGTGGGTCCTGCCAGACCCACAGGAGCTGGCAGCTGTGAGCTCCCTAATGTTGCAGCACTCCCCACCAGGCAAACACACCCCTTCCTCTGAGGTGGTTCTGGTTTGTTCCCTCCCTGACCCCAACTACAGAAGCCCTGTGTTTTCCTATTTGTGGCAAAATCCCGTCTTCCTTGCAGATGTCAGGATGAAGCTGGTTAACTCCTCTGTTTCTAGATTAATGATTCTCAAAATGGGATTCTGGGATAAGTAGCAGCCACATCCTCACTGAAAACAACAGGAAAACCTGGATAAAATGCAAATGTGTATATTGAAAAACTCCAAAGATGGGCAGAACTTGAGTGGTCAAGACTGAGAGAGAAGGCAATTGGTGGGTGTGAGTGTTGTATTCTGAGCTCATCACCCCTGGAGGCATTTGCTAATTCTTATGCATCACAGGTTGAGCAGCACAGCAGACAGCAGTTGCTAGCTTTCAGCAATCTCCCAGGGCTGGGAAGAAAAAGTGTGAGTTAAGAGTTTCTTATACAGCCAGGGATTCAGGTGCTAATATCCCAGAAAGAAGGCATGTGCAGTGTAGTGAGCCCAACTAGCCAATCTGCTTGTCTCCCTAAAGCATTCCCTAAGTCCTCAGCTGTGCAGCTGGAGAGAAGGTCAGCAGAGAGGCAGAGGAGCTAAAGAGCTTTCAAGCAGTCTCCCAGTGTAAAAAAGAAAAACTGCATTTGAAGGGCCCTGGTAAGTTCTCAGAGCTCTAAATTGGAACTCCCATAGAAACAAGGAAAATTAGAAGTAGATCAGGTGTTGCAAAGTCAAATCCAGTGTCAAAACAACTTAAGGTCATCTGTTCTCACTCTAACTGGCTACCAGAACTAGATGCCTTTCAGAGTTTCTACTTTTTCATAACATGATGTCTACCAATCCATCCAAAAGTACCAATCATAACAATAATCTAGGCAATAGAAACAGACTTCCAGATAATACAGATTTTGGAGTTATCAAATACAGATTAGACATACAACTATGATTAATATAGTTCAATAAAACAGATGACATAATGGTGAATGTCACAGATAAGTGGAACCCATAAAATAAAACCAAATGGAAATTCCAAGATTAAAAGACATAGTAATTAAAATTTAATTATGATAAATAAATGATTAGCCAAAGCTGAAGAGAGATTTAGTGATCTGGATGTAGGTCAGGAGAAAATATTCAGATGAAAATCAAAGAGAAGGGAGAAAGAAAAATAAAAAGAGTATAAAGGAAATGTGGGACATGGCACAAACATTGAAGGTGCATAATTGGAGGAGAGAGAGAAAAGAGCCACAGAATATTTGAAAAGGCAGCTTAGAACTTTTCAGAATTTACAAAAGAAATAAGCCGCAGGTTCAAATATCACCATAAACCCAGATGAGATAAGTGCAATAAAAACACAGCTGGAACATCGTTGTAAATATGCTGAAATGAAAAGGCAAAGAAAAGTGATTAACCTTAGCCAGAGGTGGAAAGGCTCATGACTGTCTAAGGGGCAGTAATAACACAGACAGTGACGGCAGACTTCCCTGGAGAAACGATGGCATTCAAGAGGCAGTGGAAAGCATTCTGAAAATACTGAAAGAACACTGCTAATCTAGAGTCTACATCTGGTGAAAACATTCTTCAAAATGTGAAGATATTTTCAGACAAATAAAAACCTGAGAACTTTCCCAATAGGCCTACACTAAAATACTAAAAGTAGTTAGTTGGCAGGAATGTACTGCTAGCCAGAAGCATTAAAAATGCACAACAGAATGAAGAACAAATGAAGGAGTAAATATGTGGATGAATCCAAGGCAAGAATTAAATGCATAGAACTAAGTATAATATTTTGAAGTATTTAAAATATATGCAGAATTAAAATTTGAGACAAAAATGCAAAAAATTGTAAGTGGAGTTAAATACTCTCCTATTCTTGCATTACTCAGGAAATGGTAAAAGTACTAATTTTAGGTTATAGGAAGTCCAGGATGCATACTGCAGTAGTCTCTAATATCACCTTTAAAATAATATTAAAAATACACGATTAATGATCTAGTAGAGGCAGAAACTGAACAAAAAAGAAAACTTGCTCAATCCAAATAAAATGAAAGAAGACGAAATTTAGGAAGAGGTAAAAGTATTAATTTTAGGTGATAGTATGTGAAGGATGTATATTGTAGTCTCTAATATCACCTTTAAAATAATATTAAAGTACATAATGATCTAATAGAAAGGAAAATGGAATGGAAAAAATACTTGCTTAATCCAAATAAAGTGAAATAAGAAAAAAATTAGGCATGTGAGATGAATGAAAAATAAATAGCACTATCATAGATATAAACCTAGCTATGGCACTACTCAGATTTCATGTAAAAGGATGAAATATTCCAATCAAAAGACAAAAAAACTGGATTTCTATATACGTCCTCCTATATATTACCTAAAAATATCTATATTAAGTATAACATTACAGTGAAGTTTAAAGTAGTAGGACGGGAAATGATATACCATGCAAACGTTTACCGAAAGAAAGTTAGTGTGGCTATGTTAATATCAGACCAAATAAATATTAGGCAAGAAGAAATACTACAGATAAAGAGGAACATTTCATAACAATAGAGGCTTAAATCCACCAGAAAGACAGTTCAGTCTATAAAACCCTAACAACATAGCTTTGAAACATATAAAACAAAATTGAGAGCAGGAAAGAAATGCATCCCTCGCACTCGCAGTGGGGATGTTTCCCGCAACTCTTGTGGTACTTGATGGCAAAGAGCAATGTGTAAGGAGACATTTTAACCACACAATGGACCAACTTGACTCACTGACTCTATGGGATCCTGCCCCCGACCACTGTGGAATACACCTTCCTCCCAAGTTCCAAACGGAATATTTACCAAAATTGTATGTTTGGCCATAAAACACGTCTCAAAAAATTTCAAAAAACTGAAATCATACAGTGTTCATTAATATGTTTCACCATTTTCTCTCACCCAGAGCATATAATAGGAAACCTCTCTAGCTACAATTCCCACCCTGGGCGGCAGAGACTCAGACTTGCCCGCCTCTGCCCTGGCACCTTTGGGATACTTTCTTCCTGGAATGCCCATCCTAGTACATGTGGGGGCTCACTCCCCCCTCACATGCATGTCTTTAACACCCCTGTCAGCCAGCTCATCGCTGGCCTTGGGGTAGCTAATATTAACACTGATGTGTTTCCTCGTCAACTTAGTTCCTGAGTGTTTGAAGCCTCCCAGGAGCAGCACCGGTGTGTCCCCTCAGCAGGAAGAGCGTGCCGGAGCCCTGCACAGCAATCGTCCATCTGGAGACCCAGCGTGTTCCCTTGGCTGTTTTCAGTGCCATCCCTGAGAAAGGGAATCTTTTGATGTGATCAAACTATTAAATCAACCTTCCAGCTTTTGAAGTCTATGTGATCAGGGCGGTCCCGTGGTCAGGACAGAGGAGAGAGAATGGCCAAATCAATGACGCTTTTATATTTTGTCTTCTCTGGGTCAGCCCTGCTCTGCCAAGGTTTCTGGGGGGACAAACCCTGCCAGGCCCTGCTTGGAAAACGATGATGCCACTGATGATGAAAACCTCCCGCAGCAAGGCCCTGGCTTGGGGCATGGTGTCGGGTCTGCAGCGGGCCACGTGATGGTGTGGCGGTGAGTGAGACACTTAATACCTCTGAGCCCCAGGCCCACTCATGTGGAGTGGAGGCGACGCTGGCCTCCTGGCCCTGCTGTGAGGGCTCTGTACCCACTGTGCATGCAAACAACTTATAAACCACAAAGTTCGCTCAACATGGTTTGTGAGATCCACGTGCAAAACCGAAAAATCAAAACTGCAAGTGCACAAAGGAAGGAAGAGAACTACATGGGGCTGTCCGTGTATTAATAGAGGGGCTGCAGCATGGGTTAGCAGACACGGGAGTGTGCTGGGCATCAGGAAGAACTGCATCTGGCCCTGCCGACAACTTACGGAGTTACCAGCAAGTCATGTGCCCTCGCTGCCTCAGTTTCCTCTTCTGGAATCGAGGGGTTGCACGAAAGGCCTCAAAGGGCCCTGATTCCAACACCTTGGTCCTCTGCAGTTGCCTCGGAGACACCATAGAAAGAGGGGATAGGGCGTTTGCATCTCTTAAGAAGAGAGCACAGCCAGCAGCTACAAGCAGTGGCATTGTCTGATTCCGTTTCCAGCTGCCCTCATGGATGCCAACCCACTGCTACACTGCACAAAGGGCACACACGTCCTCTGTCCAGGATTGTTCCAAAACGTGATCCATGAGCTTCTCCAAGCCTGGCTGCCTTTCTAGAGAAATGGGAAAGTCATGTTTTATCCTAAATTATTCCAGACAGGCGACCTTAATGAGTCTGGTAGAGGCTGCAGCCCATCCACAGTCAGAGTCAGTTTGGGTAGGAAAAGTTGCTCAAGGTGTGTGCTTGTCACCCCCAGCCCCTGCCCCAGGTAGTGCTGGAGGCCACACACACCACCTGCAGCAAAGCTTCACCTTCCACAACACACAGGCCCAGCCAGCATTCCCAAGCTCAGCAAACATTTCCGTTGGAATGAGGCTCCGTGTGTGTTGTGTGTGTGCATGTTGTGTGTGTTGTATGTGTGTGTTGCATGTGTGTGCATTGTATGTGTGGATGTGTTTGTGCATGTGTGTTGTGTGTCCGTGTGTTGTGTATGCATGTGTGTGTTATGCATGCATGTGTGTTGTGTGCACATGTGTTATATGTGTGCATGTGTGTTTTGCAGGGCATGGCAGCAGGGAAGAGACTCTTGGGCCTTCATAGTTTCTGTTCCTCATGGATGGATTCTTCCTCACGAACTCTGAGATTGTTATTTGCAGACAGAATCTTCTGATGTGCTTATTTCAAGGCTCAATATGGTTTTTGTTTCTTGTTTTCTTTAAAAAAAACCACCAAATCCCACACACCCTTGAGCTTAACACTTAAATAAACCAGCTCCATTTGGATGGTGTGAAATAACGATTTTCCTTTATGCAAATGGCTCACGAAATGTGGGCGCGTGCACACATGTGCCCTGTCCCAGAGGCTGGTGGGTGGAGGTCCTCGCAGGTGCGTCTCCCGCTTGGGGCTCCGGTGGCTGCGGCCTCACTGACTGCCTGGGCGCCTGCTCTGAGCACTCGTCCTCGGCTGCTCTTTACGGAAATTGTTTCCTGTGTGGAAAGAGGAGATTTTGAGCCTGGCCATGTGTGGTGTGAGGGAGATAAGGACATCGGCAGGATCACGGGGACACCAGGGGACAGGAGGAACCAGCCACTCAGCTGGGGAGAAAAGGGAGAGCCCCGCCGATGTGTCCCAGGCAGGAGGACATTGGGGCACTGGCTGTGTCTGGCTGCCTCTGGCTCTCTCTGCGGGTCCACTCTGTCCAGTGTTGTTTCCCCCTCATTCTCCCTTAAAACCCATCAGTAACTCCGAACTTGGCAGGGCTGGGCTGGGCTGGCCCTCCTCCTCCTCCCCTCACGGCGCAGCCGGCTGTGGGGCCCATTCCTGGGATGTCAGGACCAGGAGGGTGGAGACTCCTGGTCCTTCACTGTCCAGCATTGCCGAACAGTCAGGTCCCAGAGCACTGGATCTTTGACAAGGTCTCTCATGAAGTCTGTATCTAAAGCAGCAGAGGTTGGCCTGGACGGCGGCACAGTCTGGGAAATTGGCCGTAGCTTGAACCACCGCTCACTGCCCTTTCTGCCCACGCGTGTTGGCCTGGTCCCTGCTGCTGGGGACACAGACCTTGTGGCTTGAGGTTTTATGGTCCTGGGATGCTCATTGGCTGGCAAAGTCTGAACGTGGGGGCCTGGGAGCCCCATTTCAGAGCAGCTCCTGGCCTGTGCTCAGTGACAGCCTGTGCAGCAGGGAGGCCTCTAGTGACGTGTCCCAGGACCGTCCTCGTCAGCATTTTAACAAAGGACCAGCTGGCCAGCTTCCCACGCTTGCGGACAGTGAGGGGCTGGGAGCAGCAGCCGACAGGCTGGACGGAAAAGTCAGAACCCCGATGCCTTCAGAGGGGACAGGGAGGCCCACCTCACCGTCCTCTGGTGGGTGAACTCCCAGGCAGGTCTCTGTTTTATGGGAGAAACTCCAGAGCCTAGGACAGTGCCTGGCACGTGGTGGGTGCTCAGGAAGCACCAGTGAAGGAGAAAGAAGGCGACGGGGTCTCAACATCTGGCCCTGTGCTCGGGCTTTGAAAAGCCAGTGGTGTGGCTCAGCAAGTGCTCATGTGCCAAAGCCTTTGGCGTTCACAGACAACAGCTCAGGATTCATGGTGTGACGCGGTCCAGACGGACGGTCTCAGGCTGTGTGGACGGGCGTGTGCTGCAGGGTACTGGGTGAGGGTCTAGGCACGCTGGGCCACCATGTGACTCAGGGTGGCCGGGAGGGCAGGAGGGCTGTCAGCCTCACCCAGGACTGGCTCCTGGAAAGCTCGGAGGAGAAGCCTGGGGCCATGGGCAGGAGCCACAGGACCCACGTGGCCAACTCTTAGCAGGCGGGCAGTGGTGGAGCTGTGTGAACAGGGAGTGGGAAAGGGCTGGACTGGGGGTCCACCTCATGAGAGGGTGGGGTGCCTCCTGACAGGGGTGTGGGGGCCCTTCCTGGGCCTGTCACAAGGGAGCAGGTTCCAGCCATCACGTGGCTGGGACCCTCATGTGGGTGGGTGGTGGCAGCCTTTCGAGTCCTGAATATTCTCGGGAAAATGGGGATTGGTCCCTTGCTCTGTTCGGCTGAGAAGGGAGAGTGCTGCCTCATTGACATGGGTCACAACTCCTTGGATTGGAATTGTCTGGTCAGGTGTCCACACATCAGTGGCTGGACGGGGCTCCTGTGGTGCTCAGGCAGGTCCACCTGGGGGCTGGGCTCACCTGCTCTTCCTGGAGCTGCTCGGAGACATACCTGTCCCTTGAGCAGGAAAAAAATATCCCCAAACGGAAGATGCTAACCTATTATTCCCAACCTACCTGAAGATCTTTCCATATTTTGAAGAATTTTGTCCAGAATGGATAGATTTTCATACTGAGTGTTTTTTGAATTCTTCTTTTCTGTGGGGAAAACAGCAAGTACAATGGTCATGCTTTGTAAGTAATCGGGGCATGATTCCACTTTTCCTTTTAACTGCAGGGAGCCGTAAGCTCTGAGCAGAGCAGCATCCATGCACAGAGCAAGCGAGGTAAGGTGCCGTGGCTTCTCGACACACAGCCTCAGGGGAGGCTCAAAAACATGTCCTCCAACAAGCCCAGGAAAGTGTGTCCTGGTGCCTGAGCAGTGAGCGGAGTCCAACGCCACTATGTTTCCACCGTGTCTTCTCGATACCCTCTTGGGAGACGCTCGCGAACTATTCTGTGCACTGTGTGTCCTCAGGCCTCCCCACCGCCAGTGGTGAGCTGGGTTCCCTTCTGTGCATCTGATGCTCCTGGTCACTTGAGCCATGGGCCTTGGACCCGGACATGGGTTTTACAGACACTGAATTTCCCCCACCTCTCTTCCCGTCCAATGCTTTCTACCAATAACTGGGCAGTGTGATCCCTGCTGCTCATGAAGAGGTGCAGGCAGTGTGGGGTGACAGCACTTCAGGAGCAGCTCTAAGTCCCCCAAGACCGGCCCTGGCTGCTACAGCTGGGGGGGCGGCAGGGCTCCCTTCAGGGCAGCCCCCAGCCTGGGAGGTGCCCTTTCCTAGTGGGGTACACCCTACAGAGAACCCTAATCCTCTTCCTTTCTTTACTCTGCTTACGCTCAAAGCACACAGGAGGACCCACCTCTCCCAAAACTTTGTGCAGATGCAATCTGGAACCCTTAAAAATACTGTTTGGTACGTCTGCATTTTGTGAACACAGGAATCCTGACTACGGTTGACTGGCCTGGACCCTCAGCCTGAGTTCTTGGAAACAAGAACCCTTCTGTATCTGCCTAGCACCTAGCAGGCTCAGCAGGTATTGCTGAGTAAGTGAGTCTCTTGTTGACATGAATGTTACAGGAAGTGAATGATTATGACATGAATTTACATATGTCCCATGGGATTCTTAGATTTCACCAGGTCCCAAAGTCTTAAACTGAAGTTTAGGCACAGCCTGTATGTCAGAGATGATATTATGAACCTTGGGACTTTTCCTACTCCCAGAAGTCACAGATGACATGGGGAAGTTGGGTTTTCTGGCAACAATGAAAGGAAGATAGTTGCAGATGCATTTTCCTCTTAATGTCAAATAGATTAAGAAGAAAATAGATCTGCAAACATTCATCAAAGGCTGCAGGCGTCGCCAAAGGCTGCTTTGAGCTTTAAAAACATTTATCTAAATTTATCTTAGGTGCTCAGTTTATATGTTTAATAAGGACACAAGCCCATGGAACAGTTTTTAAGTGTTAGAAACGGCATTCAGTAAAACATGGGGCTGTGCCATGGTTGACACTCACCACCAGTTTCCTGCTGGAGGCCGCAACTGTGACCCACTTTCCTGTGTATCTTTCCAGGAATAACCTACACCAGAGAGATCACTGCCAATTTCATACTCAAAAGGAATTCACACAGTGTGTTTTAGAGAAGATTCTTTAGAAAAATTTGGCAGATAATTCAGGTTAGGTATTTATGGAAACATATGTAATTCATCGTTTAACACAAAAAATTTTATCTTACATTTGCTTATTGTAGAGTGTCATCTCTAGCCCTTGGGAATCCCAGGGAAGTGCATACGAAGCTAACACTTCCCTGTTCCCTACTTATGTGTGGTTTCTTTCGACCATAGTGCACGTGGTGAAGCCTGTGGGTAATACTTAGTCTTCATGTGTAGATGAGGCACCAGTGAGGCAAAGCACCTTCCTAAGGGCACTGAGGTTGTACACAGCTGAGCTGGGAGAACCCAGGGGCCATCGTCCCCAGTCCTTGCTTTTCCTTCCAGGGTTGAAATGCCAAACTTTTCACAGTTCCAGGATTCTCAATGGAACCATATGGGTAAAAATCTATTATTTGAATTTTTAATGTTTGGAAAGGATGGAGTAACAGGGATTAGATTTGTCTCCCAATGTAATTAAAAAATAAGAAAATATATATGAAACAGTGATTTCTCATATATGAGAGAATAAGCAGCAAAGGCCAGTGATTCCTGAGAGATGGAAAGCAGCTGGGTGCAGTGCTGTGATTGCTTCAGGCACTGTCTGGGGACAGTTTCCAGGGCAGCATCAGGAGTGAGAACTTAGGCAGAGCCCAGTGGTCTCAATATGTTAAGGTGTTTGGAGAGGCCAAAGTAGCTAGGGTTCAAAGGACAGAGTGAGAGACAGACAGAGAGACACAGAGAGAGAGAGATACAGAGGGATGCCTCGAGCCTTCAGCTGATTATTGACTAATGAACGGCTGTAAGAAAACTACTCAAGCATGGAAAAAGGGACACACAATGGACAGGCAGAATAATTTCCAGAGCTCACACAGGCCAGAAATAGGTGGGGTTCCCCTCAGTAAACATTTTAAAAACCCTCATAATACACGGTATATTGAGCAGAGTACACAGAATTACATTGCCTCAGTAATGGGGAATAGTAGACTTAGAAGAAATGCTGCTTGGTTCATCTAACAAAGCATAAAAGCAAGCATCAAAAGGACCAGACTGCTTCAAAGTAACTTAAATGGGTAAAAGAACGGGCTCAATACTAGTTTTAAAAACATAAGAATATCCAACACACAATGTAAGTAAGATTCACAATGTCTGGCTTTCAAACAAAAATGACCAGACATGTGAATAAGCAATAAAATATCATTTATAATGAGAAGAAAAACTAATCAAAATTGGCCCAGAGATGACACAGAGAGTAGAATTAGAAAGCAGAGATATGTTTTTATAAAACTATATACTATATGTTCAAGAAACATAGAATGTCACATTAGATAAAAGCAAGAACCAACCATATGCTCCCTATAAGAAACTCTCCTAAAGACACAAATATGTTAAAAGTAAAATGATAGACAAAGATATGACATGCTAATACCAACCAAAAGAAAGCCAAAATAGTTACTTAAATCTCAGACAAAGTATACTTAGGGACAAATAATATTACTAGGAATAAAAAATCATTTCTTTTTTTTGTTTGAGATGAGGTCTTACTGTCACCCAGGCTGGAGTTCAGTGGCACAGTCTTGACTCACTGCACCCTTGAAACCTGGGCTTAAGCAATCCTCCTGCCTCAGCCTCCTGAGTAGCTGAGACTGCAGGTATGTGCCACCACACTCAGCTAATATTTTATTTTTTGTAGAGATAGGGTCTTGCTACATTGCGCAGGCTGATCTTGAACTCCTGGGCTCAAGTGATCCTCTTGCTTCAGACCCCCAAAGTGTTGGGATTACAGGCATGAGCCACTGCACCTGGACAAGAGTCGTTTCCTCATGTTGCAGGGATAACTCACCAAGAAAACATAATAATCCTACAGGCTTATACACCAAATAAGAGAACTTCAAAATACATTAAGCAAACACTGCTAGAAATAAAAGGAGTCATGAACACATCCATAATTATGGTTTGAGATTTCAACAGTGCTTTCTCAATAACCAATTGAACAAGTAGATGGAAATTTAGTAAGGATATAAAAGAACTGAATAAGTCTACTTGGCATACTTGATCTAATTGACACTTATAGAACAGTCCACCTCTTAACAGTATAATACACACACTTTTCAGAACACTTGGAATATTTGCTAAAGTACACTATATTCTGAGCCATATTTAAAGTTTTATAATTCACTGAACAATAATCAAACCATATAACATGTTTTATGACCAAAATGAAATTAAATTGTAAGTCAATAAAATTATGGCATCTGGAAAAATCTCCGAATATTTGGAACTAAACAGCATACTTCCTTTTTTTTTTTTTTTTTTTTCTTGAGATGGAGTCATGCTCTTTCACCAGGGGTTGGAGTGCAATGGCATGATCTCGGCTTCTGCCTTCTGGGTTCAGGTGATTCTCCTGCCTCAGCCTCCCATGCAGCTGGGATTACAGGTGCCCACCACCACACCCAGCTAATTTTTGTATTTTTATTAGAGATGGGGTGTCATCATTTTGGTCAGGCTGGTCTCGAACTCCTGACCTCAGGTGATCCGCCCACCTTGGCCTCCCAAAGTGCTGGAATTACAGGTGTGAGCCACTGTGCCCAGCCTCAATAGCACACTTCTAAACAACCTATAGATCAAAGAAGAAATTTAGAAGGTAAATGATAAAGTATTTTGAACTGGATGAAAATAAAAGCATGACATATTGGAATTTATGGGATGAGATAAAAGTGGTACTTCTAGGAAATTTTTAACAGTAAACATTTGTATTAGAAAGGATGACAGGTCTCAAACCCATGATCTAAGTAGTCACCTCAAAAAGTTAGAAAAAAGGGAAAGTAAAATTTACAATAAGCAGAGGAAAGAAAATAATGTTGAAAGAAGAAACCACTATAATTAAAAACCAAAATCAATAGAAGAAAATGAAATAACCTGGCTCTCTGAGCAGATCGATAAAATGGATGAACCTCAAATCAGACTGATACGATTTTTAGAAAGCTACAAATTACTAGAGAATTACTATCACTACAGTTCCTGCAGACACTGAAATGAATAATAAAAAAGTATTATGAACAACTTTTGCCAATAACTTTGCCAACTTAGGTGAAATGAGAAAGTTCCCATAAGCATCCAATTTATCAACAGTTATTAAAGAAGAAATAAATACACTAAATAGCTCTCTATTAAATAAATTAAGCTTATAGCTAAAAACCTTTCCATAAAGAAAATATAGGCCCAAATGTTTTTACTGGTAAATGCTAGCAAACATTTTGGGTAGAAATAACATTCATTTCATATGAATGTTTCTAGAAAATTTAAGAAGAGAGACTACTTCCCAACCCATTTCTATGAAACCATTATTACTTTAAAACAAAAGCTACAGAAAAACATTACAAACACAACAAACTACAGACCAATGTGCCCCCCAAGAATACAGGTGCAAACGTTTTGAACTAAATTTTAGCAAATTAAATCCAACAATATCATGACCAAGTGGGTCAAAAATCAAT